TTTTTTTTTTTTTTTTTTTTTGATTATGTGATCTTTTGGTGTCCAGTTTCTTGAGCTTTTTGTATATTTTAGAGATCAGACCTCTGTCTGATGTGGGGTTAGTGAAGATCTTTTCCCATGCTGTAGGCTGTTGTTTTGCCTTGTTGACCATGTCCTTTGCTTTACAGAAGCTTTTCAGTTTCAGGAGGTCCCATTTATTAGTTGTTTCTCTCAGTGTCTGTGCTGCTGGGATTCTATTTAGGAAGTGGTTCCCTGTACCAATACATTCAAGTGTACTTCCCACTCTTCTATAAGGTTCAGTGTGGCTGGCTTTATGTTGAGGACTTTGATCCATTTGGACTTGAGTTTTGTGCATGGTGATAGATATGGGCCTATTTGCATTCTTCTACATGTTGATATCAAGTTACGCCAGCACCACTTGTTAAATATGCTTTCTTTATTCCATTTGATATTTTTTGCTTCTTTGTCAAAAATCAGGTGTTTGAAGATGTGTGGATTGATATCTGGGTCTTCTATTCAGTTCCATTGGTCCTCCTGTCTGTTCTTAAGCCAATACCAGGCTGTTTTCAGTACCGTAGCTCTGTAGTAGAGTTTGAAGTCAGGGATTGTGATGCCTTCAGAAGTTCTTTTATTGTACAGGATTGTTTTGGCTATCTTGGGTTTTTGCTTTTTTAAAGGAAGTTGAGTACCGTTCTTTAAAGGTCGTTGAAGAATTTTGCTGGGATTTTGATGACCATTGCATTGAATCTGTAGATTGCTTTTGGTAAGATTGCCATTTTTACTATGTTAATTCTGCCTGCCCAAGAGCATGGGAGATCTTTCCACTTTCTGGTGTCTTCTTCAATTTCTTTCTTCAAAGATTTAAAGTTCTTGTCATAAAAGTCTTCCACTTGTTTGGTTAGAGTTACTCCAAGATATTTTATGCTGTTTGTGGCCATTGTGAAGGATGTTTCTCTGATTTCTTTCTCAGCCCATGTATCATCTGTATACAGGAGGGCTGCTGATTTTTTTGAGTTAATCTCGTATCCTGCTACACTGCTGAAAGTGTTTATGAGTTGTAGAAGTTCCTTGGTAGAATTTTTGGGATCACTTATGTAAACTATTATATCATCAGCAAACAGTGAGAGTTTGACTTCTTTTCCAATTTGTACCCCCCCCCTTGATCTCCCTTTGGTGTCTTATTGCTCTAGCTAGGACCTCAAGAACTATATTGAATAGATATAGAGAAAGTGGACAACTTTGTCTTGTTCCTGATTTCAGTGGAATCGCTGGGAGTTTCTCTCCATTTAGTTCGATGTTGGCTGTTGTCTTGCTGTATATTGCCTTATTTATGTTTAGGTATGTTTCTTGTATCCCTGCTCTCTCCACGACCTTTATCGTGAAGGGATGTTGTATTTTGTCAAAAGCTTTTTTGGCATCTAATGAGATGATTATGTGGTTTTTATTTTTCAGCTTGTTTATATGGTAGATTATGTTGACAGATTTTTATATGTTGAATCATCCCTGCATCTGTGGGATGAAGCCAACTTGATCATGGTGGATGATGGTTCTGATGTGTTTTTGGATTCGATTTGCTAGTATTTTATTTAGTATTTTTGCATCAATGTTCATGAGTGAGATTGGTCTGTAATTCTCTTTCTTAGCAATGTCTTTCTGTGGTTTGGGTATCAAGGTAATTGTAACCTAATAAAAAGAGTTTGGCAATGCTCCTTCTGTCTCTATTGTGTGGAATAATTTGAGGAGTATTGGTATTAGTTCTTCTTTGAAAGTCTTGTAGAATTCTGAGCTGAAACCATCTGGTCCTGGGCTTTTTTTGCTTGGGAGACTTTTGATGACTGTTTCTATTTCTTCAGCTCTTATAGATCTGTTTAATTTGCTTATCTGGTCGATCCTCACCTTCTTAAAGGGACAGTAGAAGACATAGTAGACTGTCCTTCCTGCTCTTGTCACCTATCCTACTGAAAAGACAGCAAAGGAAAACTAAGGGTAACATTTGCCAAGAAGGAAAACAATATGAATGGGAAAATAAGAGCCCCAAGATCCTCCATGGCAACAGGATGCCCACAGAGAAAGATTTGTAGTATGCCAGCTGTAAGTCCTCAGCAGACTTCTTGGTGCCAAACAAGTGACTGCACATGTCACAGCTGGAAGGCTCTTCAAGGGCATTGGTGCCAGCCAGGAACAAGGAGCAAGCCTGCAGTTCACAGACCAGAGTAGCAGCGGTGCAGGTGCATCCAGAAGGCTTTCAGTCAAGAGAACTCTGTGCAGGAGGCAGAATTTGGTCATGCGAGCAATCCTCTCTCTGACTCCATTCTTGAGTTCTCAAGCCTTCTGTTCTTGCAGCCCCAGAACATAAGAAATTATGGGCCCTAGGCCCTGATTGGCATGCAAATAAGGTTAGAAATGGGGCCAATCAAGGAAGAGCAGTCAAAAAGCTATCAGCAACTCTGGTGGGTACGGTGTCACCTGTTATTCTTCTGACCTGATCCCACTTGGGGCTCTGACTGTAAAAAGTCAGGACCTTCATGCAGCTGAGGAGGGGTTCGCTCCCCTGGATGTAGCTGAGGAGGGTTAGCTCCCCTGGGTGCAGCTGAGGAGGGGTTAACCCCCCTTCAGTCCCTTTGCTCTCAGGGATGGAAAGCTCTTTATTTGGCGAAGTTAATGTGCCCAGCTTATTCCTTGCTGATTCCGTAACACAATAAGATCTGGCCTTTAAAGATGGCTGGTTCTTTCTCTCTTCTCCATTGAAACAGTTGGGCTCTCACCTAATAACCCTCTTTGCTCTCATTTCCTCAAATTATGGTCACAGAATCTGTTGACCCAGTTCACTGCTGACAGCATTTAAGTTGTTTCTTCCTTTTAGCTCACATCCGTGTTTTACTAAGAAAAGGGACGAGATGTCAGCTTCAGTTAAACGACTCTTACAGTTGGCAGTTAGAGTCTCGTTTGATGTGGTGCTGTGCGAATTTTCTGGAGAGATGGGGTCTAGATGACAGACCAAAAAAAAAAAAAAAAGAATTCAAAGCTCCAAAGCTAGGCATGGTGGCGGAGGCCTTTAATCCCATTGCTCACGAATAGAAGCAGGTGGTTCTCTGTGAGTTCGAGGCCAGCCTGGTCTACATGGTGAGTTTCTGGACAAACTTAACTACGTAATAGAAAGACCTTATCTCAAAAACCAACAAAGAGAAGAAAAAGAAATAAAAAGCTCTACCCAAGCCTAATGGATTTGCTGTAACTGACAGGAGCAAAGGCAGCTGTGCCTCCCCATATTCCCCTCACAGCATGAAGGCCGCTCTGCTGGAGAGCATCTCTCCGCAGCAATTCCTGCTTTCAAACCTCTGGGAAAGGCCTTGCCTACCATGTAACCTGAGTGAGTTTCCTGAGCCTGTGGGCTTCCTTGGCTTCCCAGGCCCTGGGAGCCTCTTTCTCGCCCAGCAAGGAGGAAGTGATAAGCACCTGATATCTGATTTTGTGCTAGAACCAAAGCTGACCCTCTTCACAGCACCCACTTCATTTTGGGGCACCACAGTTCCTTCTTTCACCTCCTCGTGTCTAACCCACTAGAGCCGCACAACTCAAGCCAAGATTACAGGGCAATAGGTCAGCCCATTGGGAGAAACTCGTGTCCAGAGTACAGCCCCTAAACATCCTGTAGTAACCAGGGAACATGGCAAGGAAATTACGATCATAGCAATAACTTACTAAGTGTTGCTCCCCTAGGGAAATCCATGTGCTAGCTATATCAGACTTAGCCTTTATCCCAGCACTTGGGAAGCAAAAGCAAATGAATCTCTGTGAGTTCCAGGCCAAACCAGACTACACAAAGAGTTCTAGGCTAACGAGGGACACACAGTGAGATCCTGTGTTAACAAAACACCCATACTAGAGACCAGTTAGTAAAACAAGCTCACACTCAGGGTCGAGTTGTAAAACCACAACCATAGACCACTATTATAACCAAAGGGAAGTTTAGTCAGATCCCACTTATCCTGTTGTCCTATCACCCCAATACAGCCAACTACAGTTTGTCACTATCGTCTTTCAATGCACTCCTGTATTTTGCAAAATGAGTCAAAAGTTTGCAAGGCAGTGCTCTTGAATCAGAATATTTTTGTTTTAAAAACAAAATCATATTGCTAGCCGGGTGGTGGTGGATTTAATTCCAGCACTCAGGAGACAGAGGCAGGCATATCTTTGAATTCAGGGACAGCTAGGGCTACAGAGCAACTTCTGGGACAGCCAGAGCTACACAGAGAAATCCTGTCTCAAAAAAAAAAAAAAATAAAACCACAAAGTAAAAGAAAAGAAGAGAGGGAGGAGGAAGGGAGGGAGAGAGGAAGAAAAGCAATTACAGGCACTGCTGGTGTGTAACTTACCATGTTATTAAGGAAAGAATAAACTAGGCGTGGAAATGACGGCGTGATTCAGTGTGTCTGACGAAGAGGACTGTGTAAGGAGCATGTTTTTGTCATTCTGCTGGGTTTAATGTTGCTTATTTTCAGGCTAATTAGATGGAGTACATTCTAACAGTCGGTTATAGAGTGTAGCTTTAGTTTATTACAGCTGAGCGGGCATTGGTTGCCCACTGGCTTTGCCCTGGACTAGTCTCAGTTTACATCCCTCACCGTGAAACCATATTTTTTACTCATACAGCTCTACAAGCTGAGAGAAACTTGGGAAACTACATATTACAAATATCTACACATGGTTGTAAAGCTTCAGTTCATGGAGCAGGAGCTAGCAGCGATAAAAACAGAACAAAAGAAGTGTGGACGCCTCCTCGAGAGCCACAAGAACTTAGAAGAAGTTCTTCACTGCAGAAGCTGGATGCGGGAGCACGCGGTAGGTGGTGAGAGCCGTGTAACCCGAACAGAGCGACATGCTTGAACTCATTTCAGCACAGCGGTAATGTGAATTTATACCCCTTGCGTTTCCTCCTCTTCCCATAACATCAAGTTGGCTTTGTAGATTTCTGAACAGCATCGGTCTCTTCAAAGTTTTCAGTGTGTGTCATTTTCTGGTTTGCTTTTCTATTGCTGTAAAACAAACAAACCACTGTCTGAAAATAGCAAGGGCAGGGGTGAACTGGCTACTTTTATGTCCACTTGACACAAGTTAAAGTGATCTAAGAGGAGGGAACCTCAGTTAAGAGAACACCTCCAGCTGGGCAGTGTGGTGCACACCTTTAATCCCAGCACTCAAGAGGCAGAGGCAGGTGGATCTCTTAGTTCAAGGCCAGCATGGGCTACAGATGTTCCAGGACAGCCAGGGCTACACAGAGAAACCATCTCAAACAAACAAACAAAATAAAACAAAGAAAATGTCTCCACAAGATCTGGGTTTCTTAATTAGTGATTGGTGGGGAGGGCCGCTGGCCTCCAATTAGGGGTAGTGCCACCCGTGGGTGCTGGTCCTGAGTTCTATAAGGAAGCAGGTGAGCCAGGCATAGGGAGCAAACCAGTAAGCAGCACCCCTCCCTGAGCTCTGCATCAGCTCCTGTCTCCAGGTTCCTGTCCTGAGTTCCTGCCCTGACTTCCTTCCACGATGGACTTGGAAGTGTAAACCAAATAAACCCTTTCCTCCACAACTTCTTTTGGTCCTGGGGTTTCAGCACAGCAAGAGCAACCCTAAGACAGGAGGAACGTGTTTCTAACAGGCTTCCAGGTCCTACTCACACTGAAAGAAACCAACGCAGGAACTCCAGTGAAGCAGGGCAGGCTTGGTCTCCACATCTCCTTGCCCACAGGCCAATGCAATGGAAGTAATGTGTCAAGGGAGGTTCCTTCATCCCAGATATGTCTAGGTTAGTAACAAGTTTACAAATAAAATTATTGATCTTCCACAATATTTTAATTAGACAATCATTTGCATCTTAAGACAATTGAGAAGAAAAAAGTTCTATATGAAAATTAAAACACACTCTTAAATATTTCCTTCAGTTACAGTTATGTTTTTAAAATGTTTTTGAGTTGATTCTTTTGTTCTGTGACTTATGAAACTACATTGGAGTTAGCATGAGGGTGACTCAGAACACAGGGCTCCAGGTTCAAAGGAAAACAATTTACTATTTTTATGTTTTAAATTTTTTAATAGTTTTTGGTTTGGGGTTTTGGGGTTTTGGGGGGGGTGTGGGTATGATTTTTCAAGACAGGGTTTCTCTGTGTAACAGCTCTGGCTGCCCTAGAACTTGCTTTGTAGACCAGGTTGGCCTCAAACTCACAGAGATAGATGCACCTGTCTCTGCCTCCTGAGTGCTGGGATTAAAGACATCTGCTACCACTTCCCGACTTTAATTGGGTTTTGTTTGTTTTGTTTTGTTTGAGACAGGCATTCAATATATAGACCAGACTGACCTCAAATTCAGAGATCTACCTACCTCTGTCTCCCACATGCCACCATGCTGACTTTATGTGTTAAATATAATGCAGTTGACATTAGTAATAAAAATTTTAAATCCCAGCATCTTATTTAACATACTTACAACTACCTGTGAGTTGATGATTCTTAACTAAAGGGAACAAGAGCAAAGTAGTTGTTCGAAGGTTAATTATTTTGGAATTTTGTACTTTTTGCTTTAGATCCAAGCAAGAGATCAAAACAAAACTAAGGATTTAAGAGATGCGGATGAAGTGGTCACGATAGGTGAGATGGAACTCAGAATTAAGACCCTGGAATCTCAGCTGGAATCCACGAGGGGAGCTCAGCGCAGTCTCCAGGAAGGAGACTCCGAGCACCGAGCACAGCTGTGCTGGAGAGCGGGCGGTGCCGTGACACAGCCCCTGCTAAGAGAGCTGGGCGAGCAAGCCAGCCCGAGTCCGCGGAAATAACGGAGCTTGGTTTGTCTCTGCCACAGGTCGACGGGTACCGGGGACCAGACCTCACAACAGACTTGGAGTTAGAGAATGAATGTGCCCTTGGACTGCATTCGGGGAGGCTCTCGTTTCTTCCCCTTTTCAGTCTGGGTTTCTGTGGCCTTTTGCCCCCAATGCTCTCATGTAGCTGACATGGTTCATTAGTCTTTTAGGTTAATGTTCTAAAGTTTTCTAAATACAGCATTTATGTTCTTATTAAACTACTTTTTGCCATTTTATTGAATAGAAATCTTAACGTGTAACTATTTGGGGAGTGTTACAACTTAACGGCGATGGACAAGGAGTAATGACAAATGCCCCTGCCATGTTCTGACACGGGGCAGGCTTTCCTGGATTGGAATCTTTGGTGTCATTTATTGAAGGGTCCTTGCTGACAAACTCATTGGCAGGTTTTCTAGATGGTATAAAGACACGCTTATGACACAGGAAAGGAACACACAAATGAGGGAAGAAAAATGGATAAAATCATCAAAATAACCACATGGTCAGTCTGAAGGGGTGTGTGAACCTCAGAAAGAACGGACCCCCGTTTGGCTTGGTGATGTCAGGAGCAGCCACTCTCACTCCCGCTGGTCACCCCCAGCGTTTGCTGCTCTCAACCTTCCCTCAGTGCCAAATACTGACTTTTTTTTGCCCAGGGTTCAGGTGAACTGTGCAGAGAGTAAAAGCAAAACCGTGAAATGACTTCAAGGAAGGTTTTTAAAGTCCTAAGCCAATTTACAAAACACAAGTTACTTCTAGATTGTTTTTCAGTTTTATTTTTAATTAAGCACAATAATTATTAATAAATGTATGTTTAGCGCAATGTTTTTATAGTTAAACATGATTATACCCATCATCCACACAATTTTACTCCTTAAAGTACAAGTATTAGGGCTGGAGAGATGGCTCAGTGGTTAACATAGCATCTATGCTCTTCCGGAAGACCCAGGTTCAAGTCCCAGCGTCCATGGGGCAGCTCATAACCACAGTCCCAAGTGATCCAGTGCCTTCTCCTGGCATCCCAGGGCACTCCGTGCACACAGTACACAAACGTACATGCAGACAAAACACCCATACACATAAAAATTAAAATAAAGGAATAAAAATTCCTAAAACAAACATTTTTCATGGCATCATCAAGACTTTTTAATTAATTTTGTTGATTATGTGTGCACGTGTGGATAAGAGCACTTGCGTGCAGGTACTCACAGAGGCCAGAGGTCAGATCCCCTGAGCTGGAGTTCAGTCAGTTGTGAACCTGAGATGTGGGTGGTGAGAACTGAACTCAGGTCCAGCGGAAGAGCAGTAATGCGATCTTAACTGTGGAGCCATCTCTCCCGCCCCATGTTCAAGAATGTTGTCAGTGGTCCCCTTCCCTCCAGAAGGCACAGGGTTACCTTCCTGTTGTCTCTCTCACTTGTTAGTCCCCGGTTAGTTCAGAAACTCTCTAGAAATGTTTATTTAAGATAATTTTAAATCTATAGCTGTGTGCAGCGGCATTTTTACCCTTAAGGCACTGTCTAAATGACAATTCTGTTCAATCATGTGACTCCTTTTAAGACACGAGTTGCTTGGGGAGGGAGATACATTCTGAAGTCTGCAGTCTCATGGGACTAGAGAGGCTGGAGGTGGCCGGTCCACAACCTCTCCAGTAGGACAGAGGTTGGCCAAGCACTCTGAGGGAAAGTCTGTCCCGAGTCCCTTGTAATGAGCGGCTTCATGACAGTATTACTGTGGAGTTTGTGACCCCTGGGAAAAACTGTAGACTCAGTCCAATTATTGTTAAAAGACTTACTGATTAGCTGCTAGCAAGATGACAGCCTTAAAGCATGTCATGAAGGAGGGGTATGGGGAAAGGTTTTTTACACAAGACCTTCAAGCAAGCAAAAGTTAATCTGTTCTGCCAAGTTTAAGTGGCTATGGTGACTCAAAACAATCTTTGGATATCTGTGTAAGAAATTTACAAAACAAAAAAAGCAGTTGGTTATATTATAGCAAGTCATGACTGGACACTTGGGTGGAGGTCACTGAGTCAATGTTGCTGGAACTTATCTTTTGAGGACTAAGTCAGAGATGGATGACTGGTGGGTACCAAAGACAGATGCCTAGCAGAGAGCGCATTTCCTTTAGCCATCACATTCCCGCTAGATCATATGAATCAAGGCACTGATACACATTTATATAGAGCTAAAGGTTGGTATCTTAATTGTGTTGAATGTACATACATGTGTAAGTAGCAAGTTTATGACACAGGGCCAATACAAAACAAATTTCTGGGTTTGTGTGAGTGTTCGTGTGTGTGTGTGTGCTTTTTTATTGTTTTGGTTTGCTTTTTATTGTGTTTTTGTTTGGGGATTTTTTGAGAAAAGATGAAATTGCATGGTTTGGGAGGAAGGAGAAGATCTGAGAGCAATTAGAAAAGGGGAAAGAATGTGATCAAAATATATTTTATGAAAAAAATGTAAATAATACATAAAATATGCTTTTTCAAAAAGCATTTGCTGCTTTGTCAGAGGATCCCAGCACTAATATCAGGTGGTTTACAACCACCTGTAACTCCAGCTCCCAGGCATCTGTCACCCGCTTCTGGTCTCCACAGGCATCTTCATGCATGTGTGTACACACATGCAGACAAACATGCATATGCAATAAAATAATTAAACAATTTAAAAATATTTAAAGAAATGTTAACTTTATTCATAAATGCAAATCAGGTGGAAAATAGATAAAACAGTTTATTTACTAAGACAGTTAATTAATAAGAGAGATAGTTTATGTTGGGGTCTGGTCCAGAGAGAAATAATTTATGGTCCAGGCTAGCACCAGACCCTGACAATGGTATAACTTACAGTAAAATTTGATTCAAGGAAGTGAATATCACTGCCTCTAATTAGCGGAGGAATGCATGATGCTTTGTGTTGGCGTCTATGTAATTTAAATTGGCTGTGATTCATGACACGTTCAGTTTTCCAGCAGCACAAAAGGGTTGACATCTCAATCAGAAGAGAATGATTCTCAACCAAGCATACAATCACACGTAGTTTTTTTTTTTTTATTTATTTATTATGTATACAATATTCCTTCTGCGTGTATGCCTGAAGGCCAGAAGAGGGCACCAGATCTCATTACAGATGGTTGTGAGCCACCATGTGGTTGCTGGGAATTGAACTCAGGACCTTTGGAAGAGCAGTCAGTGCTCTTAACCGCTGAGCCATCTCTTCAGCCCCCATTCACACGTAGTTTTAATTTAAATGAAAATGATATAAATGTATTATATGAAGTAGGAAAACACACAACGTTAAAGAAACTAAATTCTTTTTTCATTTTTCCGTTTCTTTAAATACAAGTATATCACCAATTGCTATATTATGCTACTGAGACTTTATCTTATTTTGCAGTCATTGCTGTACAAATTCATTGTTGACATAGTGCAATTTGGATAGTTGAGTTAGAGTATATTTGAATTCTCTCTATAATTGTGCAAACAACTGAGGTCTAGAGTGACATGATCAACATCCATGCAACTTTGACACTCAGACAATATCCACCCCTGTGTTAACCTCTACATACCTCCTCGTCCTTTTCCCCTTCTGCATCCTTACCTCACTGTCCTACACACACAAACACACAGTCCTCTTATTTCACTGATCTACACACACACATTCAAACACACACATGCACCTAAGTTTCACACTCGGAATACAACCTGTAATGCATATCTCTGTTGGGGTAGTTTATTTCACTTAGCATGATCACAGTCTATTTTTTTTCTATTTTCTTGCAAAAAAAATAAATAGTACCATGATTTTCATTTTTCTTTCTGGAAACTTTTATCATGCTCATACATAGTATTTAGTTGCCAATGAACCTGTTGACAGGTGCCTGGATGGCTTCTGTATCGCGTGTCCTGTGGTTGGTACCACTGTGGACAGATGCAAGCAAGAACTGTACCGTCAGTTTCTACTCAGGCTAGTACACACCCTGAAGAGGCACGGCTGCACTGCCAGTCGTTCTACATTTGTTTGTGTGTTTTGTATTCATTTAGTTATTTATATGAGTATTGGTGCCTTGCTGTGCTTATGATTGTGAAGCGTGTGCGTGTGTGCATTCAGTGCCTACAGAGGGAATAAGAAGGCATTAGAGCCCTTGGGACTGGCTGTGAGCCACCTTTAGTACTGGGAATTGAAACTGTGTCCTCTGCAAGAGCAGCCAATGCTCTTAACCACTGAACCATCTCTCCAGCCCTGGTTATTATTATATAATGTAATATATTATTATATGATATATAATATAATAAAATATACAGGGGTATGCCATACTAATTTGCATAGCAAACAAAGTACTTTACATTCCCCCGGTATGTAGAAGGGATATTTTTCCTACTTCCTCACCAGCAAATACTTTTATAGTTGCTTGTTACTTGTTTTATTAATGCTAGCCTTTCTGAATGGAGAGAGATGGACTCTCCATGTAGCTCTGATTTGTGTTTCCCTGGGTGGCTGAGAGGAGAGGACATTTCTTCCTGTATTTGCTGACAGTTTCTGCACCCTCTCCTGAAAGGTTTCTGCTTGTTTTGTGCATGTGTTTATTGGAATGTTTGGTTTTGGGGGCATTAAGATTTTGAGCTATTTATATGCACTGTGTCTCAATCCTCTGTTGAATATCTGGGAAGTATTTCTCCCATTCTGTACAATCGCTTTCCCTCACTGTGTGTGGGGGCTTTTAAATTTACACAATCCGGTTTGGTAATTCTCGCAATGCCCTGAGTTCCTCAAATCCTATACAGAACAGATTGCCTATCCCTCTACACTGAAGCCTTCCCACTGTTCCGATCCTACACTAACATCTATTCCGCTTTGAGATGCTTTTTGCATAGTGTGGACCATAGACATGTCATCTTAGTCTTTATGTCTTCGCTTTTCCCAGCACGCTTGCTGCCTCTTTACAAAGTGTGTGTTTCGGGTGCTTTTGTT